ATATATATATATATATATATATATATATATAAACAGACAGATATATATACACTGACTGTGGTGTGGTCATGGATGCGATAATCTCATTTGATTTATGGTCCCACCCTTGTCCTCAAGATCCCAGCATATTTGTTCAAGCCTGTTTGGTTAAATAATTTAAACGTATTATGTTTATTTATTTTAGTTTTAATCCTTTCAAGTTCATTAATTAATTTTTGGGTGGCTGTAGAGAATTGATTAAGAAAATTTCGAAAATCTTCTGTCAAATAATTTTTATTCTACCAAAACTTTTCAATCTACCTTGAGACCATCGTCAGGGGTTAAAATACCCGTGGATGTGTATACAGTAGTTTACACGACAGCGATTTATATTACTTTTTTTGTAATTATACAAGGTACCTTTCGTAATAATAGATTTTTAATTATAATATTTAATTCTAGTAGTTTTTTTTTATAAAGCTTTGCTGCTAGAAACATTTAAAACCTTTCTTGCGATGCACATTGTTGTTTTTATTTATATTTGGCCGCAATCTCTATCTATAAAAAAGCAGGATGTTTTAATTAATGTGTGTGTAACGAATGCACGGCCGCAATTTAACGACGGATTTGCACCAAAATAGTTATATGCACAAAATAGTTAGCGGAAAGGCCAAGATATTTAGCTTTTGCATTTCTCAACTCCCATCGATAGTGGAAATTAATCGATCTTTCCATTCTTCTACGGCAGTTTTATGTAGTTTGCGGCCATTTTCTACGGTCTAGAGTGAGAGCCTATAGCTGGCTCCCACGAATAGGCAGGAAGAGAAATTGGCCAGCGTGAGAGCCAACAGCTGACTGACACGAATGTTAACTCATAAAAAAAAAAAAATCGATAGCTGCATTCGTCACAGGATAAAAGGGAAAAATTTAAATCTGTATGGCTTTTTACCCCAATTGGCTCATTCGCTTGCTTAAACTCAACGTTGATTCTGATTCCGCAGAACTGGGTTGGGGATGAAAAAAGTATTTGTTGTTTAACATTATTTTTCATTCGGTTTTTCTAGTTACGAGTCCTTTTTTAAAGCTGATCGTTTTGTGTTCATTTTGTTTAGTTTTTTTTTTCGTAACAGATTTAATGTTTAGTATAGAGCTTAGCAAAAAAATTCGCAGTGTGAGATAGGCAAGAAGTAAGGAATGTAGCAACATCAGCAACGGCATAGGACACTTTTTTAAAAGCAAGGAAGGGCAAAAAATATTTTAAGTCAAGTGATAGTGATTGCTGTATGAGTCGTACGATTTTTTTTGAATCAATCACGGGCAACGCCGGGCCATGCTGGTATAATTATATCTCTTAAAGAAAGAAATTATTTCAGAATTTGCTTTTGAAAAATATATCAATGTATTTTTCGACTAATAACAGTCTAAAATTAGTCTTTATATTCGGCCGAGAACTTATCTGCATCCCTTTGTACAAGTAATAAAATCTAATATATATAAAAAAAAATCAATTTGTTTTGAAGTTGCAAAAGGTAGAAAATAGACCGAAATTAATAGACTCGAAAAGAATTTAATATTTACGTCTTTATAATGGAGAATATTTTTTCAATGTAAATCCTAAAAAAACAAAACACACACATTTACATATACATACATACATACATACATATATATATATATATATATATATATATATATATATATATATATATATATGTAATTATTTTGTTTTTGGTATTTTCGAAACGAGAAAAATAACCATTTACATAAATGGGCGTGAAAATAAGAAAACATTTCGGTCGATTTAAAGGGGTTTTTTACTTTTGATTTTTATTCGCCCTGTCTGAATGTAATGGCCGACCTGTTCAACTCGCTATTCGCGCCATTTACGCATAACGACGCCATGTCTACGCTGACCGACATCGCACTTCGATGTCTCAATGTTTCCTCCTTCAATCCCAATAGCATCTACCAGGCTCGTCGCTGTCCCGTCCCCTTGCATATATCAACACATAACCAGTCTCTTCTCTTCAGTACATTCGCATAACTTTTTCTCTTACTCACCAGGTCAGTTAAATGCGACTTGACTTCTTCTTCTTCTTCTTGCTGTTGTTGTTGTTTTTGCTCTTGTTGTTGTTGTTGTTGTTGTTCTTCTTCTTCTTCTTCTTCTTCTTCTTCTTCTTCTTCTTTTTCTTCTCGCTGTTGTTGTTTTGCTCTTCTTCTTCTTCTTGCTGTTGTTGTTGTCTTTGCTCTTCTTCTTTTTCTTCTTCTTCTTGCTGTTGTTGTTGTTTTTATTCTTCTTCTTTTTCTTCTTCTTCTTGATGTTGTTGTTGTTTTTAATCTTCTTTTCAAAATTTGTTGTTTTTATTCTTCTTCATTTTATATTTTTATATTTCAAAATTGCTGTTGTTGTTTTTTTTTTATTCTTCTTTTTTTCTTCTTCTTCTTCTTGTTGTTGTAAATTTTTTGCTCGTCTTCTTATTGCTGTTGTTTTTTTTTTATTCTTCTTCTTTTTCTTCTTCTTCTTGATGTTGTTGTTGTTTTTGCTCTTCTTCTTCTTGATGTTGTTGTTGTTTTTATTCTTCTTCTTTTTCTTCTTCTTCTTGCTGTTGTTGTTGTTTTTATTCTTCTTCTTTTTCTTCTTCTTCTTGATGTTGTTGTTGTTTTTGCTCTTCTTCTTTTTCTTCTTCTTCTTGCTGTTGTTGTTTTTGCTCTTCTCTTTCCTCTTCTTCTTCTCCTTGTTGTTGTAATTCTTTTTTTCTTCTTCTCCATGTTGTTGCTGATGTTGTTGTTGCTCTTCTTTCTCTACTTGCTCTTCTTTTTCTTCTTCTTGATGTTGTTGAATTTTTTGTTAATTTTCTTCTTCTTTTTCATTTTTTTTTTTTTATTTCATTTATAGTTTGTCTTATTCTTTTTCATTTCGTTTACAGTTTTTTCTTCTTTTACATTTCGTTTATCGCTTGGTACTTCTTCTTCATTTCGTTTATAGTTTCTTCTTCTTTTTCATTTTTTATAGCTTCTTTTTCATTTCGTTTAACGTTTTTCTTTTTCTTTTTTTCATTTATTTCATAGCTTCTTCTTCTTCATTTCATTTATAGTTTCTTCTTCTTTACTTTTTCTTCTTCTTCTTCCTCCCTATGCCTTTTCCCGTCAGGTCGTTTGCGATTCCGTCCTTTGTAGCTCTTAATAATCTTTGTCTCTTTGTTACCTCAACTAATCCCTGTTCTTCCAACAATTTCCACAAGTTCGTTACGTATATTATTCGGTGCTTTTCACTGTCCTTCTTGCCATCAATATATCCTGTGAGCGTCAAGTTCTCCAATCCTTCTTTCCTCATTATGTGTCATAGAATTTTTAATTGTCTCTTTCTAATTGTAAGTATAATTGTCCTGTTTGTTTCCATTTCCCCCTAAAACTCATGTCTTTCGCTTCCTCTAAATGTTGCATGCGATCATGGCTCTCTACAACTTCCTTTCATTTGTAGCTCTTAGCTATCTTTGTCTTTTTATTATGTCTTGTAAATCTTGTTTAGCCAACCATTTAACAAGTTAATTAGGTAGATTATTCACTGTTTTCTTCTGTCGCGCAATATGTTGTCATGAGTCCAAAACAGTCTAGACGCAAGACACTAGTGGCCAGTAGGAGAACCATCGATGGCAACGCCAGCGGGCATCCTATGGCAACACAGCGCGCCGCCGATGGCAACACCAGCGTGTCGCCGATAGCAACGCCAGAGAGTCGTCAATGACAACGCCGGCGTGCCGCTGATGGCAACGCCAGAGGGCCACCGATGGCAAAGCCAGCACGTCGCTGGTGCCAACGCTAGAGGGCCGCCGATGGCAACGCCAGCGTTCTTCTGGTAGCAGGCCACCACCAGCGGGACACCGGTGAGCCTCTAGCGTTCACCCAATCGTAACATTGCCGAGAGGAACATGTCCAACAGCGAGCCACCAGCCATGCCGACAAGATTTTTATTGCTGGTAATTTTTTTTTTCAAAAATGTATTGCTGATAATATTTTTTTTCAAAAATGTATTGCTGGTAATATATTTTTAAAAATGTATTGCTGGTAATTTTTTTTTCTCCCAACATATATTGCTGGTAGTATTTTTTCCATAAAATTTATTGCTGGTAAATATTTTTTCCAAAAACGTATTGCTGGCAATATTTTTTCAAAAATGTATTGCTGATAATGTTTTATTTTCAAAAATGTATTGCTGGTAATATTTTTTTCCAAAAATTTATTGCTGGTAAATATTTTTTCCAAAAAAGTATTGCTGGTAATATTTTTTTCAAAAATGTATTGCTGATAATGTTTTATTTTCAAAAATGTATTACTGGTAATATTTTTTTTCCAAAAATTTATTACTGGTAAATATGTTTTTCCAAAAATGTATTTCTAGTAATATACTTTTTTACAAAAATGTATTGCTGGTAATAATCTTTTGCTGGTAAAATTTTTTCTTCATTGCTGGTAATAAAAACTATTTTTACGCTTTCATAGTGTCTTGACCCCAGTTTGAGGGTTAATTATTTGCTCAGAGCTGGGGCCCTAACAGACTCAGGGTGGACCTGGGAACACCAGCAATTAAGAGGTGGTTCCACGTGACTCAAAACATCCTGACAGTAAGCGTCCTGGGTAAGACGATAAACTACATCCGTTTCCAGAGTAAGACGATAAACTACGTCCAACAGCAAGGCCTCTGATCAGGAAGTTTTGAGGAGCGTGGAACCTCTTTTTGCTGGTGTTCCCAGGTCCACCCTGACTCGGGGTGGTAGCACCTGTTAGGGTCCCAGCTATGGGCAAATACATAACCCTGAAACTGAGGTAAAAAGCATTATGAAAGTGTAAAAATATGTTTTAATACCAGAAATACTTTGTAAAAAAATATTACTAGAAATAAATTTGTGAAGAAAAAATATTACCAGCCATACGTTTTTGAAAAAATAATATTACCAGCTATACGTTTCTGAAAAATAATAAAATAAATAATATGTCTGTTCATATATATTTATTTCAGTGCTATGTATGTATCTATGTATGTATGTATGTATGTATCTATCTATCTATCTATCTATGCCTTTTCATATCTATGTCTCGTTTCAGTGCTATCTATCTATCTACGCCTTTTCATATCTGTCTGTTCATATCTATCTATCTATCTATCTATCTATCTATCTGTCCACGCCTTTTCATATATATCTATCTATCTATCTACGCCTTTTCATATCTATCTATCTATCTATCTATCTATCTATCTATCTATCTATCTATCTATCTACGCCTTTTCATATCTGTCTATTCATATCTATCTATCTATCTATCTATCTATCTATCTATCTATCTATCTATCTAGCTACGCTTTTTCATATCTGTCTGTTAATATCTATCTATCTATCTATCTATCTACGCCTTTTCATATCTGTCTGTTCATATCTATCTATCTATCTATCTACGTCTTTTCATATCTGTCTGTTCATATCTATCTATCTATCTATCTATCTATCTATCTATCTACGCCTTTTCATATCTGTCTGTTCATATCTATCTATCTATATATATATCTATCTACGCTTTTTCATATCTATCTATCTATCTATCTATCTATCTATCTATCTATCTATCTATCTATCTATCTAAAGTTTTCTCCTATCTATCTATCTATCTATCTATCTATCTATCTCACTCTTTTCATTATCTATCTATCTATCTATCTATCTATCTATCTATCTATCTATCTATCTATCTCACTCTTTTCATTATCTATCTATCTATCTATCTATCTATCTATCTATCTCAGTCTGTTCACATCTATCTGTTTCTCGTTCTATCTATCTATCTATCTATCTATCTATCTATCTATCTATCTATCTGTTTACCGATTTCATATCTATGTTCATGCAGATCAAATAATTTCCGCGCAGCAAACAGTAGAAATTCATGTTTGCTGATTATAATGCTTCTATCGCTCCTTCTCGTTATAACAGGAAAGATTTCTCTCACTTTCCTTTCTCTCTCTCTCTCTCTCTCTCTCTCTCTCTCTCTGTTTCCGTACATGTGTGTACACGTGTGTCTGTGTGTACGCGAGCGCATGTACCCGCGCGTGCGCATTCATAAACAAACGCCCTTGGCTTTAAAGAGTTTAAAAGGAGAAAGCAAAGGCACTATATCGCGAGGTCGACCTCCTCTTCTGTCGTTGTTCGCATTTCACTATCGCCTTTCCCCTCACACTGCAGCTCGCCTCCAAATCCCGACCAATCGCCCACTAGATCGGCATAAAACACCGTCGAATACAATTTGAAGCACTTAAAAATAAGTAAAATTGTGCATTTAAAAGTCAATAACCAAACAATGTCTATTCTTGAGAGCTTTCCCGTTGGAGTTGAAGAAGTGACTGGTAATGGCGACTTATGTTCATATCACGATGAAACACCGCTTACCATACGATCACTGAAGTGAAGCAACGTAGAGCCTGGTCATTACCTAGATGGTAAACCAAGGTTGGGTAACCTTGGATTTGCGGCTTGGGAAGCGAAATAAGAGGGTCGAGGAGAGTCCGAATTCCAGTCGGGTTCCTTACATTTACTTATACTTGAAGGGAAAAAAGACGGACCCCAAGTGTATGACTTTTGCCCCTACCAACAGGCATTGGGCCATGGAGTAATGACCCATTTCTCCCATGAATCTGGGGAAGGCCGTCGTTCCACAAAAGACCTTCACAGTCTGAAAAGAAAAATTGAGTATTGGAATTAAGGGCGTGAGGTTTTGAACTTTAATCTCGGAGTTCACAATATTAGTATTCATTATTTGGGTATTTCCACTGGTGGAACTTAGGTATAGAAAGTAGGGCACATGGACTTCCTAAAGACCTTGGATTTTAAGAAATATAAAGCATTATTAAGATATTATTATTAGGATATTATTATTAGAATATTAAAAATATCAACTCTTATTAGGATATTTGGATATTATTAGGACATTATTATTAGGATATTATTAGGATATTAAAAATATCAACTCTTATTAGGATATTTGGATATTATTAGGATATTATTATTAGGATATTATTAAGATATTAAAAATATCAACTCTTATTAGGATATTAGGATATCATTAGGGTATTATTATTAGGATATTATTAGGATATTAGAAATATCGACACTTATTAAGATATTTGGATATTATTATGATATTATTATTTGGATATTATTATTATGATATTATTATTACTACATTAGGATATTATTAGGTTATTAGAAATATCAACCCTAATTAGGATATTATTAGGATACTATTATTAGGATATTATTATTACGATATTAAGATATTAGAAATATCTACCCTTACTAGGATATTTGGATATTATTATTACGATATAAGGATATTATTAGGTTATTAGAAATATCAACGCCTATTAGAATATTATTAAGATATTATTATTAGGAGATTAGGATATTATTTGGATATAAGAAATATCAGCCAGTATTAGGATATTATTATTAGGATATTATTTGGATATTAGAAATATCAACCCTTATTAGGATATGATTAGGATATTATTATTAGAATATTATTACGACATTACGATATAATTAGCTTATTAGGCATATCAAATCTTAATTAGGATATTATTAAGATATTGTTATTATAACGATATTAGGATTATTTGTTGTTTGGTTTGTTTTTTACAGCTTATTAACCATTTGTAGTTGTTAATTGATTCATTGATTTGTTTTTTTACGTCTTATTAACCCTGAATGATTGATGATTGATTTTTTTACGGTTTATCGCCCTTTGTGATTCATTGATTTGCTTTTTTACGTTTTATTAAGACTTTGTGTATTATTTAAGGCCGAAATGAAATATTTTTTTTTGTGTGAGAGAACCTTGTATTAGCAATTTGTATAAAATAATAATTATCTTTCCAGATACTAGTCTAACTATTTAATTCATAGTTGTGGGGTGGAGATGAATGCATACTTTCCCAAGGGTGTCTATGCATAATTAATGTAACGAATGCAACTCTCCATTACATAACACGTGCGCCCGTGTACATTGGGAAACTTTGATCATATATGTTGCAATGTCAAAAGTAAATAAAAAAATCTCCTCTCAAACACGAATTTGCAAAGGCCCATCGGACTGGTAGCCGAGTTGGATAGGATCTTTCATTTCTTCACGGGTTGTAGTCGACGTAATTGAGACCTCACACACACGGAGCTTACTTTTTTTTTATTGGACGATTACCACACCTTTTTCTGTCCCTATGGCCGCTAGATGGTGTGGCAACCAAAGGTATAAAACTGAAGGACTCACGGTCTCTTTCGCTTTCCGTTCCGCGATGCTGTACCGACGATACCGGGGGCGTCTCTGCCGGCGGCTGTGAACTTCCTTCCCTGTGATTTCTTTCACCGTACCATCTTGCGCACCCACCCTACACACAAGCCTCTAGTGGCCGGCTGGCTGGCGGGCCGCCAATGGCAACGTCAGCCGTCCTCTGGTGGATCTCTAGCGGTCCGCCAGTGGTAAAATTGCGGAGACGAACACGCCGGCGGCCTGACAGCGGGCTACCACCGGCAAATGCTAGTGGCATGATTGGTGGCTTGCGTGTAGGGCAGTCGTGCACTCATGCAAAAACGCACATGCAAGGATTCTACCAGCTAATCCCATACATATCTCTCTATATATAAGGATCTCTCTTTATTTGTATACGCGGTAATATAATTTTCGCTCACCTTGAGCCATGGTTTCGTTATATATATATATATATATATATATATATATATATATATATATATATATTTCGTTGGATAGATGTGAGTTTGTGACCCTGGGTTTCACGCAGAGTCACAAACTCATCAATCCAACCAAATATGTTAGCTCTATCTCTGATATAGAGCGCTTTCTAATAAGTACCGCGCATATAATATATAAATAATTATACATATTTATATTTACATACACTTTTCACACACACACACACACATATACACATATATATATATATATATATATATGTGTGTGTGTGTGTGTGTATAAGATATTATGTAAATATATATACAGGATTAATACGAATATAAAATTTGTCACTTAGCTGATGGATGCTATATTCGGCATCTCGACTCCAGAATTTCGAAGACGAACGCTCCAGCAATCGCTCCGTCCACTCGTCAAGAATTATCAGCAATTGACTTTATATTTTCTCGTTTTTGTTAATTTTATATTAAGTTAAAAAAAATAATTTTTACATTTTTTTGTTGACGTACCTTTAATTTTTGCTTCTTTTATTAAGTGTCAGTGCATTTGTGTGCATGGATGCATACCATCGTTTGTGTGTGTGCGTATGCGTAAACTCCAGTGAGCCCGCGTGCATGTGTACGTGTGTGTATGCATAGAATATCTTAGTTATTTCTCCTTTTCAATCGTTTTTCCTGTCTCTTTATAGATTCTCCCTATTGGTTTTATAACTTTTACTCTATTTCAACTTCGAGAGTCAAAGCGAAATGTATCAAATTTGCGTAGGACGTGGCATTTCTCGAAAGTCCTAGCGTTTTCTTCAGTTTGAAAAATGTAGAGTAAGTAAATATTTATATATGTCTTCACTTACCCATTATAATATTTCTCTTATTTGATTTGGTGGTATCTTAAGTGTTAGGGTATTCATTATATATTAATATTTATAATATAATTTCAATTTTTCTTGTTTGAATATATATCCATATGCTTACATTCATGCATTCACGCGCGCGCATGCACATACACACGCACGCGCGCGCACGCACACACACACACACACATATATATATATATATATATATATATATATATATATATATATAGATATATATAAAACAGTACGAGCTCGGTTCCTGAACGTCTCACATATCGAACAAATCGGTTTTCGAATTTTATATATCAACAAACAATATTTAAAAATCTTTCTGATTATTGATTTATTTACTTTCATTGTTTTTTTTTCGAAAAATAAAGATATTGTAATTTAGTGAAACAAAGCAAGTTCAGT